CCTGCCCCCACCACTACCAAGCCCAAGCCAACTCCTTCTCCAACTCCTGCACCTTCCACTGCAACCCCCAAGCCGACCCCATCTACTGCCCCCAAGCCTACACCTACTTCGACAAGTGCTCCAACCACTACTCGTCCTGCATGTTAATGTGCTGTTCAGCTAAGATAATAAATATGTCGATAAGTGCCTAATAGTAGTGCTGAATTCACGATCTGATCTTGTTTCAGTCCTGTCACGATGTAGGAAATGGGCGGTAGCGCGGAGGGTAGGAGAGGAGAGGTACAGTAGCACTAGGGGCGCAGAGTGTCCGACGCAGGACAGATCACTCGAGGGTAGGCCTACAGCAAGAGGTGAACGCTGATTGGTGAGAACCGATGCTCATTATCCTAATCCTCAGCCGAGCAATCAGTGACGCTAGACAGGAAGCATCATGTCACTAAATCAACAGTGCTGAGAGAACACTGACGATAGGATGACGCGGGATGTGTCACGTCACGGCTTCGATGGGGGGAACTCTCAGAGTGCATGGGCATGAGGTGATGGAGGGGAAAAGTTCTGAAGGTGAGGAGGGCGACGAAAAGTCGTGACTAAGGGGCGAGCAAAATGCCCATCTCGACAACTTCCACTGCTGTACGAGTTCCGTGTGCTTATATTCCCTGAGGGTACTCGTACACAACAGCTACAATCTCACAACCCAGATATGTAGCACCTGCAATGTGGCTTTTCACGTGATCGAGTTATGGTACCCGGCACTGTTCGTGCGGGGTGTGTATGCTACAATGTAACAAAATATCATGTAACAAAATGTTATTTCCAAGTACAGGGAATGACGTATTAAACGCCCCCGTGGTACTAAAATTTCGTATTGATTAAAGTATTGAAATTTCGAAGTAGTTTGTCCCAATACACAATTGAAATGCCAATTCGAAGTACCACGGGGGCGCTTAATACGTCATTCCCTGTACACCGATGAATACTACGCAGTATATCAGCGGAACAGTGTGTGGGACTTTCGTAGTACAGTACTATACTGTGCTACAGTAGTACAAATCTGGATACCGTTTAGCCAAGACCGAGAACCGTTCAATCTACTAGTAATAAACTCTTGTTATAGGTGAGGCATATGTTTAATACTCTGACCCCTCAATTCTAACCCTGGCATTTTACGTCGAAGTATGCACACGCGGAGGGTAGGACGAAGTCCCGGGGTTACAAGGTTACGGGAAGAAAATTTGCTTGAACGGATCTCAGTCTCGGCTGAACGGCATCCAGATATTCTGAGTGTTTTGTGTGGTGGTTACGTATTCAGGCTTACCAGTGTTTCAGCGCTGTTGGGACATACAATGGCAAAGCTCCATATGTGATGGCGTTTGAGTGTTTCTACCAACAACTCTCGTAATAGAATACTACGAGTATATTAATAGTACATTGTAGTAGTACTAAGATTAATATAACCTTGCCTTGGCTGACTGATTGACAGCATCCGGTATCCATCTAGGGTTATGTTGATGGTTCCAATTGATCAGTTTAACAATTGCCGAACCCGCCCAACTCATACTGTACTGTAGGTGGGAAAGCATAGACCAAGGTTGTATTGCCGTGGGCATCGTAATAGTACTACTACTCCCTAAATCAAAGAGGTTGCTTGGGTCAGCTTGCCACATCTAGCGTGAATCCGCATGGGTAGTCGCCACCTCATTCATTTTCAAACTTCCTCGCTAACAACCATGAAAGTGCTGACAATCCTCGCCTTTGGAGCTGCCGCGTCGGCCACACAGTTCAACTATCCCACGTTCGACATCCCCGCCTTTGACTTGACCGATGACATCTCGCCGGAGGAGGTGTCTCGCCTTGTGCATAACTTACAAACCACTGGTATCATGGCCATCAAAAACATCCCCAATTTCGAGGCCATTCGATTCGAGTACTTGCGGTCGGCGGCGGAATGTTCCTCCACGAAGTTTGACCAGTTGCTCCACAAGGAATTGGTGGACGGCACGCAACGCCGCACGCTGAGCACCAACACTGCGGGCGTGACCCCCGAGGTAGCGGGTCGGTGCCCCGCCTACGCCTTGGCCCACACTGCGTACACGAAGGTGCTCGACCAAGAAACCATCAAGTGGGCGACCTTATTAGACAACGTGGGGAACAGCACCTTCAAGTCATCGTCGTCGTCGTCGCTCGCAAGCATTGCCGTAAACGGGTCGCATTTGGATCACTTTCACGGGTACACCAACCCCGTGCAGGACGTTCCGTCGTCGCTCGAGTTGTCGCTGGAGATGCACGAAGACGCCGGTTTGGCCATCTTGACGTCGGTGCCCCTCTTCTTCGACCAGACAGCCGATGGCTCGGTCGTTCAAGTCCCAAACCCGGATGAAAACACGGGGCTGGTCATTGTAGTGGACGGGGAACGCGTACGTCCAGTGCTCAAGGCGAACGAGCTGGTCATCATGACTGGTCAAGGCTTTGAATCTTGGGGGGATTTCGGTCACACCTTCCATCCCGTGCTTCATGGAATGATCATGCCCCGCAACGCCCCTTCGTCGGTCGTCCGTGCCTTTTCGGGTCGCATGTTGCTCTTGCTCGCGCATCAGACGATGAAGAACACCGGCATGACCTTCAACGACTACAACCACGCGGTCACCCGTCATTTGATGGCTGAAGACGACTCGATTGTACCCTTGGCCTGCCCGGTCGGTCGTATCTTGACAGCCAGCGACTCCATCTGCACCTTAGGCAATTGGGTACCTGACTCAGACAGTACGGCCACCAAGGAGGAGTGCATGGCTAAGTGCAACGACCTGCACTTCCTAAATCAGTGCAAAGAGATGAAGTGCACTCAGAAAGGATCGATCGCGGGCGTGAGCTGTTGGATGGTTTGTGTGGCCCCGTTAGGGCCTGAACTGTGCCCTGCCCCAGGCAAGGAAGTATGCAAGGGTAAAACACGCATCTGCAAAGGAAATCCCTTAGTTTCGCCAATTACCACCCCTTTGCCCACCACCACCACTGCCCCCGTCACTCCGACGCCAACCACCACCACTGCTCCGGCCACCCCCGAGCCTACCACCACCTCTGCCCCCGCC